CCCCGGCCGGATCACGCGATCTATGGAGATGAGAGTCCCGCCGCGAAGGAGGAGGCCTGCCAGGACGAAGAGCAGGCACGAGGCAGTGATGGCAAGGAGGATGAAGGCGCGCTGCTTCCCTATCGTCTGCAAGATCCCTATGAAATTTCCCGGACGACGAAGCAGATGGTTAAGTTTCTATTCCTGGCACAGTGTGGAGGGAGTCGTTGTAACTCCCCCTGTTTCTCTTATCGGATTGGCCGTGGACATCGGCCGTCGGGCGTCTCTGCACGGCGTCCTCCTTTCCCTCAAAAACTGCTGTCACGGGTTAGTTACGTTACAGGCCACGTCGCAGGTACGAAGACCGCTCTCATTAATGCAAGCAATGCAACTGAACGTGATCTCATGAAAAACATGAAAGGTTCTCGGAAAATTTACCCCTTCGGATTATAAGTTTTTTTTTTTTTTTTTTGCACAGGGATTACGGCGGTTAAACCTTAGGTGCCAAAAAACGGGCCATCAAGGACATCCCTCCTACCCTGCAATCTTTTGTAACTTTCATAAGGTGCAAGCACGAATCAAGAGGTGCTAGACGGTCTCGGCCTGGAACTCAACACGAACTCGACGTGATGCACCGAGTCTCAACTGGTGTGTCTCCAAGGCTCCACGAGTCGAAATTCACCTGGAACGAAATAACCATTCCCGGAATCTAATCGGTCCGCTGTCGTGGAAAATTACATGTATTTGAAATTTCAAATTTGCGATTTTGTGGTGAGGGAGGAAGAAGTATGCCTTATTTCGTTCTTGTGGATTCTCTCAGAGAGGAATACGAGGAGGTTGAATTTTTTTGCGGGAAGGGGCTGAAGAAAGGTAATAGTCGCTACCAAAGCCTATAGATGAAATACAATTTGAAGGAGCCTCATAGCGGTATTTCAAATTCGTGCATTCCAATGAAGGAGTAGTTTCAAATTCCTCATTGCATGCTTTTTTTACTTCAATGACGACCAAAACGACACGGAATCGAACTGGTAGGAAAAAAAAAATGTAATAAATATCTCTCTCTCTCTGTCCGTCCTTCCCAGGCTGAACAAGATCGGGAAGAACCCCTCGATGGTGTCGACCCGCGACGACCTGGACACGAAGGCCGTCTCCGCCATCGTGACCGCCCTCTCGGGCAACTCCGGCAGCGACGAGTCCCTCTTCACCAACACGAGCGGCGACCACCCCCACCACCGCCACTTCCTCGGCCTGTCCGAGATGGCCGCCAAGGTCCTCCCCCGGCCCAAGAGCGAGAACGTCTTCCCCTTCACCGAGGGGAATCTCCTCGGCGTCCAGCAGCGGCCGTTTCACCAGTCCGAGCATTCCTTCCCCCGGTTCGCGGCCAACGCGGATCTCGAGTCCAATTAGAGCCGGAGCCGAATCCAAAACTCGTTCAAGTTTCGGTATTGTTCACGTTTCTGTTTGCGAGATTCGGTCGGGACGCGGCTGAGATGTTTCTTTTCGGTCTCGATTTCGACGTTTCGACTTCTCTCACGTTCGGTGTTCCGTTCGATCACTTTTTCCATTCAATGTTTTTTTTTTTTCATGCTCTCCGCGCCCGCCATCAAGTCCATTCAACTTGCCTCGATGCTCTAAAGGAGAAATGATTTTTAAAAATAACTTCGAGCCAAACCCCAAATGAGTAGTTTTCACGTTTGAAAAATTTTCTACTGAAATCTTTTTCGTAGGATCGAAGCTGCCGGTCAGCTGATGTTCGCCGAAAACCCGGCTTTGCCTCCCCGAACCTCGAAAGACTTTTCTACCAACGGTGTGCACGCATTTCCTGGTAATGTGATATTTTGTATCGTCCGGTATTACACGAATAGCCAACGGGGCCGAGATGAATTTCAACCGAAACCAGACGAAGCATATCACGACAAGGACCGTCGGATGAACTCGAAGAAAAAGAAGCGTCGAAAGCCCCCAAATGTTTCCCTCTAAATTCATTAATAAAAAAAAAGAAGTTATCAATGTAAGCAATATCCAGTAGGAAAAAGTGGATAGTCGTCATATTCGCCACGAAATCTTAGGTGCTGATCGAGGGGGTTCGTAATTAGCGAGAGACGAGAATATTTTTTTAACGTTGCGAACGGACTTGTCTCATTTTAGGTCCCGAGGACTCGGTAGCGCCTCCTCGATCGAATTTAGAGGCTTTTGAGCAATAAACACGAGAGCCTGAAAGAGTCTAGAGATTTTTCATCCATGTCCAACCCGAATAAAAACAAATGTTATTTCTGGAATCCCCCGCCTTTCAATTTCTATTAATTCTCTTCCAGACACCCGATTGAAATTTCAGATTTCCGGCAAAATAATGCCGAGCAAAGAAACGAGTCCAAGAAAGTCTTAGAATACATATTTCTCTTAATGATGAAAATTCATTATTTCATTCTTAATGAAAAATGAATATGCCTAGCTAAGTTGATTCTGACCCCATGTGCCGAAAAGGGGTTCCTCCTCCATGGACGGCCAGTGGAGAAATGGAAGGCCATAAGGAACCTGAAGACAAATTTCCTTTCCGCGGAAAGAACGCCTTCATCCAGTATTGCCTCCCTTCTCTGGCCGGTCTGACATCCACATGAAATTGTACTGCCTCCACGATGGCTCGTCGGAAGGAGAGAGATGCTAAGCGAAATTTCCTTCGCGAGCGCCTGAAAGCCAGGAAATTTTGATTTTCATTCGGACCTGTTCTATCAATAATTGGATCTCTACCCATCTACAGGGATGAGATATTGGCGTCTTTTTTCATTACAATGGCCCCCAAATGCCTATTAGCCAAGAAAACAACCAAGGAAGTGATTGGATTTTACGATATGATGGATTCTGCTCCAATTTCCACAATGCTGACGAGACCGAGTGTTGATATTCGACGAGGAGGGAACGTGTCTCTAGTCGCTGCGACTTCTCCCATACGTGGACTCGTATATTCGAACGTGCTGCACGGTGTCATCACTTTAGACTTCTTTGGGAACTTTCTGCATGAAAGGAGTACCGTGATTGGACCAGAAAAACAAAGGTGTCTGCATCTCGAAAAACCGGATGGCTCACCGAAGCGTGATCCCCCGATACCTGTCCCGTTGAATTACTATTCAAATCAGAGGTGAAGAGATGGCTCAGGCATTTTATCAGCTCCCAGTTCTGATAGCCACCGAGTGTGTCTGGCACAATAACTCAAACATTTTTGAACAAATTGTGCCCGACGCTGATCGGGAGAGCTTACGCTTTTTGCTGCCGAGCATACTCATGCATTCACGTAAGTCAATTAATAACAGAAGTCATTACCGAAAATATACGTTCTTTCTATACCGAGGAAAAAAAAGGAACTTCGCCTTCACTGTCTGCTTCCTACGTGTTCTTCCTTCCCTTTTCCCCCCTGTCTAGACGTAGATTCCCTTAAGGGAGGCTGGGCCTTCTGCTTATTACATTCATGGGGGTCTCCCTTTCTAGCCCTTGGGGACAGAATCAATTTGGTTTGATGTAGCAAATCTGAATGGAGTCAATCGCAGTAGGGAGTTTGGAGGAGAGAGTTGTCTCTAGCTTCGTAACTCATAGTTGAGTGCAGTTTCCCTTCCCGGAAAATATTTTGCTTCCCCCATGCTGGTATTCCAGATGGTGCAATAAAGTAGTGAAAATCATATTTACATTTTTTTTTTTACTTTTACATTTTCTTCAAACCCCCCGCCCCGCCCCCCCTCTCTACGGGACTCTTTAATGTTAGACCTAGGCCAATCCAGCGGACTAACTTCAGGTCTGGTCTTGGCTCAGCTTTCTTTTATTCGAAAGAACCTCAATCCCTGACTTACATAGCCAATTACGCCTATAAGAGTCAATCTCGGGATTTTCGAGACATCTCGCTGAGGATAAGTAACGTTAGGCTGATTATGGCATTTCTCGAGGTTTACAAATCAATTCAGTGAAGTCTGTAACGTTAGGCCGCTACTCGAATCTGAGGGGAGAATGCCCACGAGAACGGAATGTGCGCTGGGCGCCATCATCAGCAGTGATGCCATTGCTCGGAATTTTGATATCGTCCCGCATCGATCGAGCACCGTTAACCACTGCTTCAATCTCATCGCATCAAATAACCTCAATGCGAAAGAGCATCGAAAGTTAAAAAAAGCAAATGATTTTGAGATCGACACGTAGTCAGAAGCAGTCATGAATCCGAAATAACGCTAGCACAAAATCCAGCAACTGTGGGGGGCGGGACTGGGACCGCATGCAGGCCTAAAAGAACACAGCTACTTTCATTATTTATAACAAAATGGTGCATCGCGAACAAGAAAAAAGGGCAATTTTCGTGTCAATATGATGGGTAACACAGAAGGAGGTACCCATGTTATTCCTCGAATGAATTTAACTTATCGGGGGGGGGGGGGGGGGAAGAATTGGAGCATTATACCAAAGAGATGATCGATGGATCAATGGAATTCGACTCAAAGTCGATGGTTTTTGAAGATTCAGCAAAACCGAAAGGAAAGAGCAGGAGGTCTTGGAGATAGCAAGGAGTTTTTATTTTTTTTACATAATCTGTCGAAATGCCACCATCTGTCTTACTATACGAGTCCCAAAACAATTTATTTAGATTGGAAATATTCTCTGAAAACTTCACGGCGAGAACAATGATTATCGGATGAAATTCACCCAGTCTGAAAAGGAAAAGATTCGGTTTCTCATGCACCCCAGAGAAAAAAATGAATAAAATTAAATGATTCTGTGCTCGTGGGGCACCTCAGTTTTTTTCCGCTGAAGATATTGAATCGACCACACGAGCCAAGAGGAATACCAAATCCCATCGTTCGCTGCTATTACGCTTACTAGGACGTTGTTCTAGGATGAAGGCACAAGCACGAATCGAGATGAGGATGCAGGACATCGAGAGGGAATAGACGGCATCGCCAGGGAACCCAACACGAACTGGATGTGACAAAGAATCTTGCAGGAACTGAATGCATGGAAACCCGGAATAAGCGGTATTCGTCCTAAAACTTCCACCTGCGGCGGAAACAAACATCATATAACACGTTCATTTCATAGACGCTAGATGAAATGAAAGAAATGAGGTTTCTATCTTCCTGGTAATTTCTAGATAGCGTAGAAGTACGAGATCTTCCCTAGAGTAAGCTAAGGAAAGTTCTTCGGGCTTTGGGTAGGAGGAGAAAAATTCATCCTCCTGGCTTCAGACTTTGAAACATCCCATAATTAGAATTTCATGACAGATCCTGAAAGAAAATGAAACGCTTCGGATCCGAGAAAGAGCTCCCAGCTTCTCAGATCCAGAAAAATACCGGCAATTCCCATTTTTTAATGACGAGTAGAAACTTCCAAAGTGTTGTAACGAGAAAACACAATATCATGTGGAAGATGGAAGGCTGCGCCGTTTGAACCCTTTCGCACTCGACACTCCTAAGAACTGATAAATACCTGGATATAGAAAAAAATACGTTAATGATGAAGCCAGCCAGAGAAAGGAACACAGAAGAAATACTTCACGAGCAATGCCAATTTCGCAATCATGGAAACGTCCCGCCTGCAAGCTAATACATCCAATAGAATTAGTCCAATGCGAAGCGCCTTTTGAGAAGCCTGCTCGTGGAAAGGAAAATTAGGTAGGGTAGGTGGAATGGGTTTTTTATTGAGATTTTTTCTTGATGAATGTGTGACTTGACTAACTTTCTTAGCTTGTTGATTAACATTAGGTAACTGTGTGAGTACTTACCTATTTTCGCAGGAGTTATCAAGGGCTTCCATATAAATACATACATTTACATACAGATACTTAAGATTCATTACGAAATTCTTGATGCAAAAAAATTTTCCATCTCTCTGTTTTGCAGCAAAAGCACGATTTCACAATTTCTTCCTCATCGCTACCGCATTGGAAAAATACTCAAATGTTGAAGTGAATATTTTACCGTTTCCTGCGCCATTTTCTCATAAGTTTGGCATAAATAAATTTCACTGACGAATGCACCAATATAGTTTTTAATGAATCACAGATGTTTTAAAGAAATCACAAAAACGACCTGTATTAAAGCAACACACTGTAACACACTGCAACAAGAAAACCTGGCCGTGAAATGATTGATTGGAGCTATCACTTCCTGAACATCAGCAGTGGTGGCCACAACCGATGGGCAAAATTTCCTGGCCAAGACCGTGAGAGCGACCTCGTCCTTCACTTCGGCCTTGATGTCCTTCGTCAGGGCATTCCAGAAATGGATGGCAAGTCTCAAATTTGAATTTCGAAGGACCTCCTCTAGGGCGTTCCTGGTGAACAAATTTCTGTTGTGTTGATACGGGACTGGATAGAAATAATGAGGCGGGTAGACCGTGACGTCGCCACAGGTCTCGATTCCTTCGATGTTAGTCAAATTTTCTTCTCTGCATCGCTGAAGAAAGACTTTGGTTAGGATGTTCGGACCTGCTCCAGGGATGGAGGTCGGGTCGTAGTGGAGGGCGATGGCATGCATCGCGGCGGAGAGGAAAGGGTGTTTGGGGTAGAATCCCATAAGAGCGCGCTCTCGAAGGAGAGGA